CTGCTAAGGGGACCAGTGGGCAAGACAGGAGAGGTCTGCAGGGCCATGTGAGTCATCTCTCTGCTCCCTGGCTAGGGATCGAACTCCTGCTGCAGAGGCTTCAGATAGCTTCAGAGTGCTGCGCTTTAATCTGGTGAGCCACCAGGGAGGCCCCTGTAAGTATTACATATAAAGAGGAATGTTGTTTAGCATTTAAATGTTGACCATTTAATAAATTAATAAGGGTAACAAGCTTAACATTAAAGAGAAATATATTTTTTTATATCAAATACCTTTTATTTAAGGTAGATACAGTCTTCTCAAGCCACTGGCATCAAACCCTGCTGGAGACATTTGATTGAAATGCAAATTTGAGTTCTTAACCTCTGAGGCCTGGATTCTCTAGTTCTGGAGAAAGTAGAGCTTTAAAATCTCTAGAACTGAATGATCGGGTTAGATAGCAAGGGACATCAAAGAACAATGTGCTGCCTTTGTGGAAGGAGAAAGCGGGTTCTTCTATAATTACGCACTTAATCTGAGGAACTGAATCATAAATTCCAAATGATTGGTGGCATTTTTCTCATTTTGATAACTTGCATACAAAGTCTCATTTTCTAACTCTAGAAAGCTCCCTCCTCTCTCCTACCGTATTCCAATATCACTGACACCAGGGAGTTTGACTATAATTACTAAGAAGACTTAAGTTATTAAAAGTGATGGATTGGGCCCTCCCTGGTGGCGCAGCGGGTTAAAGCACTGCACTGAGAAGCTAAAGCCACTTCCGCATGAGTTCGATTCCTGCCTGCCCCGGAGATGACCGCATGGTGTGGCAGACCTCTCCTGGCCCACCCACTGCTCCCCTCAGCAGTGTGCTTCCTCCATCTGTCTGTTCTGCTCCCCACTCTGTCTCTGGTGAAGTCTCTCGCCTCCCCTGAGCCTCTGCCCTCTACCCCAGTTCTGTATGCAAAAATAAATAAATCTTTAAAAAAAAAAAAGTGATGGATTGCAGAATGTAAGAAAATGTAACAAAATCAGTTGGCCCTCATGAATTCAATAAAGCACACTACATTGCCTTCTGTGACTATTTTGTGAATCACACACACAAAAAAATACAACAGCATTGTGTGTGTGTGTGTGTGTGTGTGTGTGTGTGTGTGTCACTCAAAATAGGTTATTGTATGTGCTATTTCCAGACCAGGGCTGACTTCAGATAAGTGAAAAAGATGAGGCAGGCAAAGCTGTAAGTTAGGGGGACTGCTATATGAGTTTGACTAATACCAGGGTCACAACTGAGGTTTGCTCATTCAAACAGAAAAGCCTCAAAGTCCTTTAGGCCAGGACAGAGTGTCCCAAGAAGAGAAGAGAACCAAAGTTTGTGGGGTAGGGAACAGTTTAGGGTCCACCGACATAGTAGGCTGATTTGATCTTTCTAGATTCATCAGCTTCAGCCTTATTAATCATATACAGAGTTTGTTCTTCTGATTCATCATTTTATAATGTCACAGGGAACAGAGAGCACCATTGCAGTGGAGTACAAGAGAGGTAGGTTTGGGTGGGGTGAAGCAAGCAGGGATCCAGTGCCTAAGACAGGGATCAGACCCAAGGAGAGTCCTGGTGGGGGCCTGAGGAGTGAGGCAGCCATGAATCAGGGGAAAAGGGACAGAGGACACATAAGTACAGCAGTGTCCACTCCATCAGGCATATCTGCCATCCTAAGGCCAAGGAGAACCAGATAAATGGCTTCAAAAAGATTTCATGAATGGAATTTCTGGATCATATAGAAGCTCCATTTTTAGCAGTTGGTGAAACTTCCACACAGATTTCCATAGTGGTTATACCAGCTTGCATTCCCACCAGCAGTATAGGAGAGTTCCTTTTTCTCCACAACCTTTCCAATAAGGAGATGTTGTTTGCAACATCTGAGTGATGGAATATTACTCAGCAATCAAAAAGATAAATTCATGTCTTTTGTAGCAACATGGATGGAGCTGGAAGGGATCATGCTTAGTGAAATAAGCCAAAAGAAAAATACCAGATGGTTTCACTCATAGCAAGAGTTTAAGGGATGGGGAAGGGAGTTACTATATATACACACACCCACACACATATATGTATACCCACCCACACACACATATATATGTATGTATGTATTGTAATAAAGTAAAAACAAATATCAACTAACAACTATAAACCAGAGACATTCTAAGGGGAGGAGAGGGGAATAGGAACAAAACTGGGACAGGAATGGTGATGGCAAATGGGTGAATAGGTGGTGGGAAGTCCCTGGGGATTACACCATATGAAAAAAAAAAGTACAAAATGAAGAATGATGTGAAAAAATATATATATAAATTTTTAAAAGATTTCATGACTTTTTAACCACCCCTCCACAGTGACTTTGCCTGGCCAAGACCCTCTGAGGGTGCATCAGCCCTGCCCACTCCCAGAGCACACAACTCTAGCCTGACTTCCTACTGCCTCAGGCTAACCGGTACCCACCCTTGACCTGCAGGGTCTAATAACAAGCCTGTGGGGGGGCACAGACCCTTCCCCGGCCCCCTGTCCTCCTCTCCCCTTTCCTGCCAGGTACAGACACCCCAACCTCCTCCTGTAAGTGTGTAGGATGGAAAACCTTGGTGTGTGGCCATGTGTTATCCCTCACACAGGTGACAATGTGCCAGTAACGGCGAGTTCACCAGTTTGCGGAGAGCAAAGGAGAAAGCTGACCTAGAAGAGACAGGAAAAAGCAAGAGGGGACATCCTTCTGACCGAGCAATAAGAGGAACACAGGAGGTTGGTGTTAGGTCTAGAGAGGCAAAATCAAACCCGACAGGAAAAGATGGCTGAAAACAAACGTGGGCAGGGGCACCAGGGTGATTAAGCGGGCTGGACCGCAGATGCTTACCGCCCGCCCTGTGCCATGAGCCCACGGTGCTTGCAGTTTCCAGCTGGTATCAGAAGCAAGTTCCACCTCAAATTGTGTGACCTTGGAAAAGTTACCCAACTGGGCCACAGTTTCCTGACTTGTAAAGTGAACCAAGCAATGGGACTGTGGTGAGGATATACTTAAAGGGGTGTGTGAAAGCATCTTGTCCAGTCTGGCATGTTGTAGGGACACAATACAAGTGAGATGGGTATTTGTTAATTGTTTGTTAATTATGCATTGTACATGAACACTCCCTGGACAACTAATGAGGAGAATTTGGTTTGAGTCAGAGTCTGTCACTTGTTAGCTATGTAACCTTGGGTAATCAGCTTAACACTCCAGTTCTTCATTTTATAATACCTTCCTTCCAGAGAGTAATGAGGTTCCCATGCAGAACTGAAAAAGATTCCATGGGATCTGTAAGGAGAGGCCCTGGGTAGGCGCCTGAAGAGTATAGATCAGGGCCTGTGGGGTGTAAGGCTCAGCAGTGAGGTGGAAGAGGAGAGGAAATGGGACCCAGGAAAGAAGTGGAGGAAAGAGTGCTGAGTGCTGGCTGACCTTGGACCCGAGGGTGCGCTGTCCATGGTGCTGGGGGTACAGCAGGTCAAAACAAAGACAAATTGTAAGACAGACCTTTGAAAGCAGACCTTGGATCTGAGACAGCTGGGAAGGGAGGGGTAGGAGAGGAGGGGGGGAAATAGAGAACACAGGGTGGAGATTGGAGGCGAGATGTGGAGGACGGCAGGCAATTTTGTGGTGGGAAAACTATGGTGATGGCACCTGAGAAGAGAGAGCCTATACTGTGAAAAAATAAACAAGGATATTTAAACAAAACAACAGCACAAAGTCCAGTCCTCAAGTTTCTTGCACTCTAGAGAGTGTGAAAAAGAGGAGGAAGGTCATGAGACAGAGATGAATAGTGTAAATAGGGGTGACTAGAGAGAAGGCAGCCCGAAGGTGGGACAAAGAGAAGTGAGACCAGACCCCAAGCCTAAGGAACAGACTGGTACTCGATACAGAGTCCCTTGTCCAGAATAGGGGGAGATGGAGCGTCTAAGTTAGGGAATATTGGTGGAGGAGGTTGGAGAGACAACAGAGGGGTGTGGTTGGTACTGCGAACATGTCTCAGGAAGGAATTCTTGGCTCAGGATAGTGCTTCATGGGAGCCACCAAGACAGGCAAATATTTTCTGAGAATACCCTCCTTGTACTCAGGCACGTCGCAAACTATTCTCCAGTTCTGGTGTATATCCCATCCCACTTCCTCCCTGACAACCTGTCCACATCTCAGGAGCTAAGTTGTGCCCAGGCTGTATGGAGGGGACATACACCTGGATCCCTTTGGGGGAGCAAAGGGGTGGCCACCAGAAACCCCAGCACTCCCGGATGGATCCCACCACCTTCCATCACACTTTCTTAGAATTACCCTTTCCACCTCACCAACGTCTGTAGAAGGACACCTACTCCTAACAAAGCCAAAGGCAGGACAGCGAGATGACGGTGTGTCCAAAAGAAGTTGTGTCAGTGCTTGGGATAAATGAATGCAATAGCAGGTGGGATTTTTCTCTTCCTTTCCCTCCTCCCTTTCCTTTATTCTTTTACGGAGATCAACTACTTATTCAGCAAATGTTCAAAGTCTGTGGTTCTCGGGGGCACAACATACCAGGTGATGCATGTCGGCAAGATCAGTGCTTCCTCTGCTTTCGAGAAGCTTGGCTTTCTGGGGAAGAAAAGGTAAGCATAAGGAAGTGACTTTCTCTGACTCTTTCTCTGCGAATTAAGGAATATTTGTTCCCCATTCACCCCTGGTCCCAACCTAACCTCACCCTTCCCTCCTCTGCTGGTGTCATCTCAATGAGCCCACCTCCTCTCCTTCCCTTCTCAGATTCCAAGGCCATTCTTGAGCCAACCCTCACACCTGTCCCCAGCGAGACCCTAGGGTCACACCCCCAAATACCCCAACTATCTTTTGCAAGGGGTGGGAACAAGAAGGCATTTGGAGGACCCTACAGATGCAGGGTGGCTAGTAAATGGGATAAACAAAGCTCACTTCAGTTTGCACCCACAAAGAAAGACACTGAGATCAACAACAGTTCTTCATGTTTTATTGGCGGTCAACATGGTGGTAACAGGAGAGGCCGTGAAAAGAGAAGATGATCCTGGGAAAGTGTTGACTGAACCTTGAGAGAGCTCACACTGCCGGAGAAAGCGGGCTCCCGTCTCTGATGCCAATGCCAGGTTCACGCTCTGCGACTCTCCCAACCTACTGTGACTCAACATTTTCAGGATTGGACCAGCCAGGTGAGCTGCTCCAAGAAGGGCCAGCGGGCTGGGCAACTCCAGGAGGAAAAAGATTATTAATACCTGGCTGTAGATTAAGATTTCCCCCACCGATACCAGGAATGCGATTAATAATGCCCCCAACGAGACCAGGAAATGGGTTCATATTCCCCCCACCGATACCAGGAATGCGATTAATAATGCCCCCACCGAGACCGGGAAACGGATTCATATTTCCGCCACCCATACCAGGAATGCGATTAATAATGCCCCC